ATTCCTTAAAGTACAGCCCGAGAAATTAGTTATTTATCCATTTAAACTTTTCAATCTTCATTATACTTTGACAATTGAATGAGACCCATTAATGTATAGTGGCAGTTTTCAATAATTATATACATATTAATTATATTTAAATACATATTATCCCTTATTCGTTTGAGTATTTCAGAACAAACACGCTGCTACAAATTTTGTATGCAAATATCTGTTATAAGCGGGATGGTAGTCAAACATTTTGACTTTTTTTTTTTTTGCTAAAGTTATTGTAAACATTTAATACACTTTGATAAGTGCATATAAAATCACTTTAGTACACGTAACTTTATAGGGGACACCAAAATCAAAGCTATACTTGAGAGCTTATACAGTTCAACAACCTTTTGAAGGTCTGCTCTGCTTTAACCAAATCTTAATGCCACAACAGTCCTCCATAGCTTCTGCCAAGCTTCCTGATCTGAATAAAGCGAGTTAGTCAGCATGGCACCATGTCCTGAGCGAGCAGGACTGGCAGAGAAGCCAAGACTGCAGCAGTCACCCACGCAGCCATGTGATGCTTCAAAGTGAATTTAACACAGCTTCTTAATATAATCAGTGCGCCAAATGTCTGCTGGCTCCCACAAACAAAGCCCGCTCAAACCATTGCTTATGGAGAAATCCTATATTATTTATGAGCTACATCGGGAGATGATTAGCAATGAATAAAGATATAAATGCTTTGAAATATACAAATAACCCAAGGTAAACCACATTAGCGCGCTAGGACCAATCTTTCTCCCAAATGCCAGCTATAGCAGTGTCCCATATTCAGGAGAGAACTAAAACCTTGAGAACGAAGGAGCGCGTTCACAATAGACCGCTGAGATCTGAAATGAGGTCAAAGTAAATCTCCAAGTGATTAAAAATGGCCAATGCTAAGGCTGCACATTCCCTTTAGCAGGAAAACAAGCCGACGTCATTGATCTTGGTATCAGAAGAGCTGGAGAGCAGATGCTTGGCCAACGAGAGGAGCAATTTATTAAAAGTGGCAGATTTATGGATCGCCTGTACTGATTCAATATGAACTTATTAGTCCAGCGTGTTTAAAAGTACCTCAATTGGATCCTCAAACTGTTTATCTGCAATATGTTGGGCAATGATAAAGGAAAAGCTCTGCACTCCCATTTATCATATTGGGTAGAGCTGCATGATTTTGAAAAAGAAAACACAGCATTATTAAATTTTTCTGCAACACACATTGCCATATTAAGTATAATTTCACCAGATGAATTGAACGCCTCTCTTCAGGAAAAAAAAATTATACTTTTAAAGTAACTGAGAACTACAGTACTGTGCACGTCTAAAGTATAAACTAAAGTATTAAGCACAACCAGCTTTGTTGGCCTAAGACTTTAGCACAATATAATCATTCATTCTCTTTATTAAAATAAACAGAAAAAAATAGCAGATAAAAACAAAAAACAACAACAGCACAACATTTCCTCTTCAAGCAAAAGGGTAATGTTTAATGTGGCTTCCCTTGGCTACTCATTTGTTCACTGTAAAACCCAACAGTCAACTTTATCAAATGAAATGAGTGTAGTAAACTCAAAATTTACTGAAAGTTACTTTTACTTATTTGAAAAAAGTTTTGAACTCAGTGCTGAAGGTAATTAAAAACCTCATTACTTTAATTTAAATGGAGTAAGTTCAAAGTACTCCACTTTTAACAAGTTTTTTTTTTTACTCAGATGGTTTGTAGCAATTGGTTTACTCAAATGGTTTGAGTTGCCTTAACTTATTGGGTTTTAGTACTCAGTTGGTTTGAGTTCTCTTCATTTATTGGGATTTAGCGTGCTCAAATTGCTTTGTTTACTCAAATTGATTAAATTCACAGTGCTCTTTTGGATTAGTTTTTGAACTTAAATGGTTTGTTGCAATCTGTTTCCTCAAATGGTTTGAGTTACCTTAACTTTTGGGTTTTACAGTATTCTAATTGAAAATTAGCTGAAATAATGTGTAGTGTTATACAAGGCTTCTTTAGCACTTTCCAGAGTTCTTTGAGTTTAGAGTGACAAAGCTTTCCTTTCTGTTTCTTTCCTTTTCTTTATAATATTCAGGTCTGGGCTCTATGGAGGCCGTTTCATGTCTGTGTTTCATCAGTTTTCTTTCTCTAAACAGGATTTTACTGCAATTAGCGGATCATTATTGTGCTAATAATGGAAACTACATGATGGATTAAAACTCATCTGTACTTTTCAACATTCACAATTCTACCAATTCATACAATTTTGCTAACAACACTGGTAGAAATCCAGCTCAAATCAGGACAAACAGCCTCTCTCTAACATTGTCTTTCAGGTGTCTTAAACAATAAAACCAAAATAATTCAAACTCTAACCTAACTCTTATCCTAACAAACAAAAATGAAAGATAATTTATGCACCCAGTATAAATCTCAACTAAAAAAATGACAAAAAAGTACACATATGACTTATAATAGGTCTTTGTGGTAAAGGGTCACATGTATCCATTATACCATCAGTAAAACATCAGATTTAATGTTGACCCAAAACCAGTGCACAGTACTGTATATTAAAAAACAAATGTCGATAAATACAGTACAGCAAAGATAAAAATAAAATAAACAGTGCGTTATAGTTTAATGGGAGTCTACCAATATTCAGGTACACAAATTGGATAATCAAATGTAAAAAAAAAAACATGACAGCCTTCATCAAATGTACATAAATACAATTAATCTTTCTTGAAAGCTACAAATATTGTCATTTATTGTGCCCATATGCTTTAAACTGGCTTACAATAATTATATAGGCCTTTAAAACAAACATTCAAATGATTCATTTTTTTAGTAACATTGTGGAGTTGCTGCAAAGTGTAACCATAAATCATGTTTTTTCAATAGCTCTAATATTGACTATTGAATAGTTTTTTTTATCAATGGAAGTGGTGTTTTAAATATTCAGTTTGGCCTACTTCTACTGCTACATGTTTTGGGTTTGTGAGTAAACATTAAGTCTAGAAGCATAAAACCATTACCTTTAACATACTAGAGCCGGCAAGAATATCTATAAACCATTTAGCATCGAGAGCTGCCTTCCCCAATCACATCAGTGCATTATTAAAATCAGCAGGCAGACTAATGATATTAGCTTTTTTTATTCAAAATGTGATTATAGATCATTATACGGCTATTTTAAAAGTTTAACCTAGTTTACTGAAGATAATTTAAACAAAGAAACAATAAAGGGAGTAGGAAAGCTTTGTTATATCATTGGTGTGCATTATTTAACCAAGAGTCCAAAGAAAAGAAAACAAATTCACTGAAGACTTTAATAACACTTGCTAGCTGACTAAATTAATACAAGATGACTTTTAGAAAGAAAAAAAAAATCTGCTGACAATCCCATGATTTAAATATTTCATCCTAGTCCAAGCATGTTTTGTTACTTTTAATCAGTTAACTAGTAAGTGTAATATATAAACTGTTTAAATCGAAACATGAAACTTCTGTAATGTAAGTGAAAGATGTTTAGGGCTGTCTAATATGATGCATTAAATAATCTTAAAGTATCAAATGACAAAGAACTAGGGGGGTTCAAAACAATGTCAGAAATCGGCCAAATTTTAATTGAGAGCCGTTTTAAAATATTTATATATTTTAAATTATTTAACTCTAGCTAGTATATTTTTAAATAAAATTTTTTGCTAACATTTTCACTTTGTTTTCTATATTTTGTGTTTTCGTTTTCATTTATAGTTGGTAGTTTTATAGTTATTTTTACATTTATTTGTACACTTCATTCAACATATCTATATTACTTTAAGTCTTCTGTTACAACTACAATTAAATGATATTGAGAAATGTTTCAGCTAGATGAAATAAATAAAAAGAAAATATAGGAAATACCTACAAAAAAAACAACATTTCCTCTTCAAGCAAAAGACTATGTTTAATGTGGACTTCCCTTGGCAACTGTTTTGTGTTTAATTGACCTGACATTTTCTGAAATAATGTGCTTGGTAATTTCAGGCGTCTTTTAGCACTTTTCAGAGATATCCTTTAGGTTTAGTATCATTTCTTTATTTTTCAATCCAGGTGATGTCATTCAGCCTCTATAATACTCAGGTAAGGACTCCGTGGAGGCCAGTTCATGACTGTCTGGGTTCCATCAGTTTTCTTTATCCAAACAGGATTTCACTGCAATTAGCAGATCATTGTGCTGAAAATGAAAACTATTACCACTGAAGTCCTTTCCATCTGTACTTTTCAACATTCACAATTCCACTAGTTTAGACAATGCTGTCTGAATATTATACACCTTATTCAAAATATCTCTATAAATTTAAGTTTTATATTTATTTGAATTCTGTTAGAAATGTCAGTTAGCAAGTGAGAAATGTTCCGACTACATGAAATAAATTATATTGCAGTTCATTCAATTTAATTTTTCTTTTAAATTATATTTAAATTTAGCAATTGTGTGTGTTTTTTATATTCGTTTAAGAGGGTTTTAATTGTAGTTTATTTTGTATTAGCTCTTGACCTATAATGTTTTTTTTATTTAAAGTAATAAAGTTTAATATTATTATTATTATTATTATTATTATTTGTGATAATATCACTGTTGCAAAGAAGACAGTCTCAGAAAATAAATAACTTAATTTTTTTATTCTCATTTTAAGATATTACCAGTTTTGAAAAAATATAATAAATCATATAAATAGTAATCGAAGGCACAAAATATAACTGTCTGCTTTTATTTATTTATTTATTTGTTAGTTTCTTCGGTTGTTTGTTTTAAATCTTGACAGTTACAATACAAACAATATGAACCTACAAGACATTCGTTATCAAAATAATTAACTAAATAAAAATCTCATGAAAAAAACAACACCACAACTTTCATTGATTTATGTGAATACCCCTTTAAGTTTCAGAAAGCATGAGGAAGCAAAATGGCTGCCATTCGAGACCAGAAGATGGAGGATCTTACCTGCGTAGCGCAAAGGAGCATCTTTATCCAAGGCTATCAGAGGAGGGTCCAGCAGAACTTTGTCGTCGTTTTCTGTCACGATACCATGATACGTGGTCTCAATCCACGGCTTGTGCTTATTTACTGTGAAGGTGAAAAAAAAAACAAGACAGAGAGAACTTTTGTTTAGACGCCAAATAAAACCAAGGCCAGACAACAACCAATTATTTTGTATTTCTCTGAGGATGCACTATGTGTCAGCACAACCGTCCGCCAGCTTAAAGGCAGAATCGCAGGCTGGCGTAACACAGCGGTGGTGAGTGTGTGTGTGGTGGCATTTACTTCTCTCAGCAGCTCATTAGTGTTGACTGAAGGCTTTGAGCTCTGAAAGTGGAGAGGACAGATGTGCTGCACAATCACTGCAGCTAGTTTAACCCGGTTTACTCAAGATAATTGACAAGGGAATAGGAAAGCTGTGTCATACAATCGTTACTACATTATTAAAACAAGAGTCCAGAAGAAAATGGCTCAAAATAATGAAAACACTTGTGAAACACCCCAATACCCTTATCTATCAATTAAAGCTAGCTTTTTCATGTTAAAACTAGTTTTTGTCCAATCAGCGATAGCTTCGTGCGAAACGTCTATTTTAGAAACAAAAAATCTAAATGTCCCTGCAAAACAACACCAAATGCTACAATGACATATATCCTCAGGTACAGATTATGTGCTTTTTTTTAGTATTACCAATGTGAGTTTAAATACCATTTCACGTGACGTTCAATGCCATACTACTGAAAGCAGCAACAGTTAGAGTCTAACTCCGATCTGGAAAACAGTTTTATGATGAAAGTCAGTAACAACATCAGCTTATGCACTTTTAATCATGTTAAATAGGTTAAATGAGTTGCGTTTGGTACAGACAGCCTGTCACACCAGCAATCTAGTCCATACAGATTGCTGGAGAACTACAAATCTGCCACCAAAGGAACTACAAATCCTGTCATGCACCACACACTCGCACCTGTTCCGGTTCTTCTTCGATTACACACACACTAAACATCAGTGCTAAAACACTGATTGCATGAAACACATATACAGCACACAAACACACAGACTTTGCTGAGTCCAGTACTTCCCACACATAGACTATTTTTTATTATCATCATCCTTTTACTTTTTTGTAATCGCCCTAAGCATGAGCCAGTATAAGATTCTGATGGTATGATAACCTTGGATAAAAATATCAGTTTCACACTATCAAGATATTGTGATCACTGCTCTAAAATATATTCTTTTCAAATATTTATAATATTTATAGTAGTATACCTTGAAAACGGTTATCGTCCCATGCCTAATCCACCCAATATCCAAACATCCGTGATAAATTAACTATTGGAATATGTCCTCTTGCCCTACACGTTTACTTCTTGTAGTGTGTGCGTGCAAGAACTGTCACCACTCCCACAGACAACCTCAAGTGCTTTGCTGAGACCCATAGAGACTTGCCTTTTTGGGACTTAAAAAGAAACCCTTGGCTTTTGTTTTCAGAGAGAGACATTATATAATTAATTATTTAATCCAAATGACTCAGATAAACTTTTCTATGTACTCAGAGAGGATGAAATTACATCTAAACTGGCTGCAAAATATATGTACACCATTAGAAATGGTAAATTAACCCATTTGCCTGTTTATTCTATAGATGTATTTGTTCCTTTATGCCATTTATTTCTCATTTGCTGTATATTTTTATTTGATGGTGATCTATTACATATTTTACACATATCTAACATGCTTTAGCAATACTGTACAAAGTGTCAGCAGCAGATTTTACCTGTCAGTGAGTGCACATGGCTCCTGAATAGAATAAAAGTAAAACAAATAGTGGATTTCCTTTTTATTTCTAGTCTGAAAAATAAAAAAAATAAAAAACTTCAACCTATTGAAAAACTGTGTAAAATAAATGCAAATATTGTTAAAAATCACTTTTTTAAAATAGCACGTAGCGTGTGGTGAAACCTTTACCCTTGGTAAAAGGTTTCAAACTGGCTACCACCGCAAGTATATTTCAAACCTGTGGGAAACACCGTAAGTCTTGTTGTCTTGTAACACTACGAAGCATTCTCTTGTCTCGTCTAGCCTAGCCATATTTTAAACCATTGCCTTGTTTCCTAATTTTGATTACTGTTGAGCATTCACCTGTTTGTAATCACTAATCTGGATTACCCGTATGTATCTGTTTACTCCTGTTTTGACCGTTGCCTGTCCGACTAATCTTATAAATTAACTGCACATGGATCCTCAACCCTGTTGTCCAGCACTGTTGTGTTACACACCCAAATTGCTCGTCACTGGAATGTTAGTCACGTGACATGAATGTTTTGAATCACGCTTTGTAAAGCTTTTAAAACATCTGACAAAATGGGTCGATTTAAAATATTCATAATGAAAAATCATTCATAATGAAAAATGAAACTTTAGTCAATAGGTGTCTCCCACAAGCTGATTAGTAAAAAAGTTGAATTTCTAACATTATCCTTCTGCTCATATTCATATATAATGCAAGTGAATAATGGATGGGTTATGCAAATTTTAAAAAACAACATAAAAGTGGGCGACATTTATAAAAGCATTACATTTACACACAAAAAAAACAAGTGTTACAAAATGATGACGTCAAAAATACCGACCATATTTTGATTTGAGAGCCTTCAGAGAGACTAGAATACGCGTTTACTATTATAGACGGCTATTAAAGCAGAGAGGACAGACAGGCTGCAGAATCACTGCAGTCTGCACACAGAGGGTGATGTGAAGGGCAGATTGCTCTCTTCAACAGATAATCACAGTGCGTGTGGCTGAAATGTGAGCATCAGCACATCAGCAGTTGCTGGGTGAAAGTGGATCCCCCTGCAGTGCTGAGCTCATTGTGACAGAGGAAGCAGGAGGCCGCAGGGAAACAAAACGAGCTCAGCGGACTGATGCCGTCACCATCACTGAATCAGCTGCTTCTCACTGTAAGACAGCACTTCGTCAGTGAGCATCTAGCTAATCCGGTATTGTAAAACAGATGTATTGGATGATAATTGGTACAGATTCCTTTACACAAATTAAAGGGTTAGTTCATTCAAAAATGAAAATCCTCCACTTGTTCCAAACCTGTTTGAGTTATTGCCTTCTGTACAACACAAAATTAAGTGAAGTTTTACAAACTAATTTCGAGAGGAGCACTTGATATGATTGACCGCAGCTGGTCTCTCATCTACAATCATTAGTTAGCCAATCAGATTATTCCAAACTCACTTTAAGTAGCCTAGCAAAAATTACTCCCTTATCTTCGTTTTCTGTAGAAACCCCCCATCCACCCCTTCTCCCCCTTTCTTCTTTTACTTTGGGTAGCTCTCGAAAACTACCTGATCACGTACTGCCCTTACATGCTCAATCTATCAGGCGGGAGCCCTGGGCTCAACTATCTCTGAGCTTAGGGTTCTCTCCCGGGACAGCATGCCAAACCTAGTAACATTTGTCAAACAATATCTAAGTGTGAACTCTTGAAATGTTTTGAAATGTTGGAAAAAAGAAATCATTGACTTCCATAGTATTTGTGGTTCCTACTGTGGAAGTCAATTGAAGTCACTTTTTCCCAGCATTCTTCAGAATATCTTGTTTTGTGTTCAACAGAAGAAAGAAATTTAGAAAAGTTAAGAACCTATTGAGTAAAGAAAATTGACCTTTTTTTAAGTGAATAAATCCTTTAAAGGTGCTGTATGTAAGTTTTTGACTATTCTAAAGCATAAAATACCATAATATGTTTGCAGATATTTAAGAAACATGCTAAGTGAACATTCTTATTTATCTGGAAAACAATGCTGAAGTCAGATATTCTGCTATGAATATGCTCGTTCTGTGCTGGAATGGCTGTATACCACCCTCTTTACAGTTGTACACATTTGTTGCTCTGCAAAGCTCAGTTTCATGTGAAGATGACTAAAAGCATGCAACCTTTGCAGCATAGAATACGCATCATTCATTCACACTATGTGACGAGATACACAGTGATGAGCAATTTGGCCTTTTGCACCAGACGAAACACGACCAAAATTTTAATACAGCCATTCAGAAGAACAGAATATGCAATCACTCATGAAATGGTATAGCTTGTAATCTTTTTAATACATATTAACCCTCTAAACTTTATTAAATGTAAATTCTAAATCACTCGGCTTTAGTTGTAAAGTTCAATTTCAAACAGTTTATTTTATTTTCAAGCTCTGAGGTGAACTTTCTGCTTCTGCTTGAAATAGTACGGCAATAAATGTCATGTAAAATGGCATTCAAACTCACATTATTAGCATTTAACACTAAATAAAGCACATGAGGTGTACCTGAGGTGATCATTGCCATAGTTTTCTGTTATTCACCTGTCCGAAATAGAAGCCATTTGTAATATACCAATTCGAGGTGTTAGTTCGGACAAAAACTCTTTTTAATATGGAAAATATTCCTTCTATTGGATGTCGTTGTTTTTATTTGGTACACTGTTTAAAATCACTCGCTCCTGTCCTTAATCTGGCAACCTGCACTTGCTTTTGTTTTGATCCATTAGTGCAATTCCTAGTTCAACCACTGGATGTCAAACTTACATACTGCACCTTTAATATAAGCTATTGATAAGCTATATACATAGTGCCCTCCATAATATTAGCACACTTGGTTAACAGGAGCAAAATGTAGCATTCATTGGTTTTACCTTTTGAGCTTTTTCTCAAAATACAAACCCAAAACCATTCAAACCCTTTTTTCCATCAGTATCAGTATCCGTATACGTTATTTAGTTCCATAAGATCTTTACTTCTTTAATTTAGGACTACATACATTCATTACTAAAATATATATTAAAAGAAAATACATTTTTAAAAATTCTTATATTTTGTATAATGGTAAAGTTATTATTGCTAGATTAATCTACAAATATAGAACATGTCATTAAATATGATACATCTCATTTTCTTATCCTGCAGTTGTTTTGAACTATGCAATAAATTTATATTTAAAAAAATAAGACCAAATTTTTTTTTTTTGAGTGTCACAGTGGCGCAGTGGGTAGCACGATCACCTCACAGCAAAAAGGTCACTGGTTC